CACCTTTGGGGCCATACACACCACCATTAAATTATGGATCATTCTCCAGTTCCTCTGACTCACGCTGCACAAGGCATGGGAATGAACAACTCCGCCTGGGAAAGTTCATTTGTTTTTCTTCCTTGATGGGTATCATAAGGATACAGCTCACTCAGAGATGTGTTCCCATCTACCCAGAGTATCCAGAGTAAAAAACTATATTGATGCAGGCTTTCAGTTTGGGAAAAAAAAAAAAACAAAATAAAACAAAAATCGAACACACAAATACACACAAAATGGAGAGGTGGTTGACAGGCAGATGAAAGGGCAAAGGAGTAATGGAATCTACTCTGCCCTGGTCCTGGAATACTCTTCTTTGGGCCTTTCCTCTTAAAAAAAATAATGCAAGTTTTGACTTCTTTGTAGGGGAAGGAAAGTGAAAGGAAGTGAAAAGATGTGGACCTCTGCACAGTCAACTCCTCAAGAACAGGATTTCTTAAAAGAAGGTCCATAGATCATCTCATCAAAATCATGAAGGATGTTGGACTAAAATGCAGATTTCTTGGCCTTGCTCAATGTTTCTGACTGACTCTCTGGGACCAGGATAAAGGGATCTGCATTTTTACAAGTGCTACAAATGGTTTTTGTGCATGCTGAGTATTGAAAAACACTGCTAAAAAGTTTGCAGTGGGGGTCACTAGGAAAAGAATTTCCATTCTAATGTATGTTGCAAGATGAGAAATATAGACATTTCAAACATATAAGCTCTGTGGTCGCATCACAACATGGTGATTATTAAAGTTTAAGACTTTTCTTTCAGCAGGGGTGGAGAGCAATAACCATTTCATCTAAAACCAGAGAGATGAAGGCAATATCAATCAAACCCATTCCAGCAGGTTTCATTTGGTCTAATTTCTCTGCAGATATTAATCATTGTGCACTCCTGTACAAATGACATCTAACTCCATTTTAACTCGGAATACAGAATACTCATTCTGATTCCTTCTCTATTGTGTTATTTTGACAATATAAAAGAAAGTAAATAAATTGAAACAGTGGGCCATCAAGATTGCAAGTTGCCAACAATACCAAGACATTAAAGAGAGAAATGGTCCATGCTAAACCGATAAGCATGCAAATTGGCAAAAACATGTATCTGCCACAGAGTCACCAGGGGAAAAAAATAACTCTCTTCATTTTTCCTATGAAAATTGCTATATCAAGTGGGGATGACAAAGAACTCTTCCTAAAAGTCCACAGAAAGACTCTTATTAACTCAAAGATCATCTAGGAAGACCAAGGTTAGTCCCATTTTACAACATGATATCTAGTGGCAGAAAATACCAGCACTCAAGTGCTCTGGGTTAAATCACTATGGTAAATAGAAAGTTGTAAGGTTAAAAGTACAACAAAGGAAAATGTCTGAGAATCAATGTTTGGCTCCCATTATGGGAGCCGGTGTCAAGTAATTTTGCAAGACACCATACATGCCTTTTCTTTTTCTCACTAGAACATGTTTTGCTTGGCAGAGACAAAGGACAATCAGAGGGGAATCTAAAGGCCAGAGAAGCAAAATAATCCAGAAGGACCAAGAGTTGACAAGAAGATCCACCATGAAGAGCACACATCTGTCCCTAGAATAAAGGTGCCTCTGAATCAGACAGGAGCACCTGAAAAAAGAAGAATTCCATTTGTTTTCTTTTAATAAATGTGTCTCCCTAAAGTGAATCAGGTGGGGGTAAATGGAGCTATGGGGGAATAAAGAGCGAAGGGAACAAATGATTTGTGCATTGTTCCCCTTTTATTTTAATTTACCACACATGCATTTCCAGTAAGACAACTGCCTACAATCACAGAGCATAACACCACTGCGTATTGGGGAAGCCACTTCATTTGGCTGTTTATGACCATACCTCAGCGCAGTGTTTTCTTGGTGGGGGAGGGTGAGCACACCACCACAGTGACCTCACGGTTTTATTTTCCTGTCTTCCCCTTTCCTGCTGAACAGGAAAGCTCAATGGGTAGGAGGACTCGAGAAATATATTCCTGACTCCAGGAGATCCACATACCTGTAGATCATGACCTCCCCAAGGTCACTGGAGTTTAGCATTACAAGATTGCAGGAGGAAACCTAAGTTAGAATTCTACACATATGTCTCCTCATTCATTTGATCCATCTGATGCTTTTAGTTTCTTCACATCAGCAAATTATGACCCTCATCATAACCAATATTCAAGAAGGGAACCACATACGTTGTCCTGTCCAGAAGTGAACTAAGAGTTCTGAAAACTTTTAAATTTGGGGAAGCAGATGCGAATCGGGGTCACTAGAGCATTTACTCTTATAACTCACTTACCATTAAATCATTCCCAGTGTGGCAAGCCACCTAGACCTCACTTGATAACTTTACTCAAAGTAGGACCGAAGGTTTCCATTGACTTGGTGCCTCCTCAGAGCTTTTCACTGAGTATGTCTGTATTCATCTTTATACTAACAGCCACACAAATAAACACCTTGCTGTTGTCTTAGCTCTTTGGAATATGTGGAGTGGGTGTTGGTCTAGAGCTGGCCCATATTAAAAATGCTATTATTGTTTTAATCAGATTCCCTACCACTTGCTTTGCTCACAAGGAGGCATAAGGAGTACCAAAGCAGAAAAAAAGTTCACGACAGGTCAAGGGACAGAAAAGTATGCCATGAACATTGTCTTTGCATTATTTGCTCTCCTGTGTAAAGCAGGCAGTGGAAGCAGTGAGTTGATCGACATCTTCCTCCTTCTCTAGTTCTTACTGGTGTATCTCTATCTTAATGCCATTAGAGTTAGGTCTGAAACTTAAGGAAGTTGGAGATGATGCCAAACTCCAACAGAGCCACAGGCATCATCTGGCTTAAGTGAGTTTGAAGATGTTTAATCTCTATTCAACTTCTTCTTGACCATTAAATTTTGTGATTTTTTTTTTGGCAGGATCCTCTATTAATAGAAAGATGCAGTATTAAGACACACTGAAAGAAATGAAGACATATTGGTAGGGCTTTACAAAACTATGCTTAGCTAAGAACAAATGCCTGCTAATGGATTAATTCATAAAAGAATCACTTAAATTCCTAAATGATGATTCTCTTGACAACTCAACTCCACAGATGAACTTTCTTTTCCACTTAAGTAGAACTTTAAATTTCATTTGAGCCTCAGGACAAGAAAACATTGGCTGAGTCTGTTGCCCAGATGTGAGGGCAAGAATCACAAAAATTCAGGAAGATACCCATGTACTAATGGGCACTGATAATAGGAATCAAGAGAGAACCTCTGACATAATAAATGTGTGTCAATAATATATTTCAAGAGAAAGCAATTGTTCATTATTTTTCCTTCCTACAGACATCATCCAATTGCCTTTATTACCTGTGATACATATACACATACACACACACACATAATAATAATAATAGTAATAATAATAATAATAAAAAACTAGGCGTGCTTGGCACACAGATAATGATTGACAAATTATTGTTTAAGTTCCCACTGAAATGCAAGAAGAATGCTGAAAATAAAGACTGGTCTTTTAATCTTCATTTACCACAAGCCTATGAAAGAGCTATTGGTACATTAATAAAATACAGTCATATGGATAGATGGCTAGTAACAGCTTCTTTTTGGCTGTGTCTATACAGGTCAAAGATGTATTCAAGAAAGACACTTTAGAAAGCCAAAACGTTAATTCTGAAGCTTTAGTTATCTAGTTGGGTTGTTCACAGACACTGGGGAAATGCCAGCCAAATCCCAGCATAGGCACAGCCAAATCCCATAACCCCACAGACAAAACTGGCTACAAGAAAGTAACAACGCAGCGCTGTAGTTTTAAAAAGTCATGAGAAATTATTAGGCGGTGTGTGGAATACAATTCCCTCTTAAAGAAACAAACAAAAAGCTGGAGCCTTATTCAAGTACTGTGTGTTGTTCTTACTTCTTCAACTACACAGGGATGTGGAGAACTGAATATGGATCACATGAAAAGGCCACACCATTAAAACATGGGCAGTAAGGACTCTGAAAACATTGAGGGAAGGAAGGTAACTCAGCTCAGGGTAGAGAAGGCTGAGCGTGGGGTCACTGAGTCATAATTTTTGTGGATACGAATGTTTGTTTCTTTAATACAAAGAATGTTTTACTAGGTCTTCTCACCCTCTCCTAGTGCAGAGGAAGAGCAAAACTGTAAAATGGAGCCTGAGGGTGTTAATTTCAAAATAAGGAAGACAATTTGTTGATGACCAGGGTTACCCGATGTTGGAAAGTGTTGCCAATAGAGGCTGGGAGATCTTCCCGGAAGGGTTTTAAGAAAGGAGCAGAGGCTCATCTATCTAAAGTAGTCTAAGAGAATGCTGCTGGGAGCAGAGGTGTTCCCCTTCGGATGCCCAGGCCCTGGGGACATGTGCACTGTGTGTATGTACAGACATCGTTGTGCTTGTGTCGCACAAATACTCATGCATACAGCGTCGATATAAACTGGCACATAATAGATTTCAGTGAAAAGTCATATAAATCTGCCATTTCCCCCCTTACCCCATAAACAAAAGGGAAAAGGAAAATTAAAAAATCCAATCATATGCCATTGGGCCAGATCTCTTTCTACCATATTCTCATTCAAAGGAGGGAGGTAGAAGATGAGAGAAAAACCCAGTTTGGGATAAAGGACTCCCAAAGCCTCTCTGCTACTCTTCTGTAGCTGGCTCTCATTATACATACGATACTCAGCACATGGTACCCAGTTAACAAACAAACAAACAAACAAGGAACCAAAAAGAGATTTTCTTATCATTCCACATCTGGAAAGAAATCTACCCTGTGGATTCAAATGTTAAGGTGAACTAGGTAAATAGGCAGTAGTATATCAATGGGCTACTGTGTTCTAACAAACGTATTGTTAGTTGTTACTTTCCTTTTCAAATACGAATTTCGTTAGGAGGTTTATTTCCAAATGGTGACATGATTCACTCCTTCTCCCACCCTGGCCCTCCCCTATAGATGATACTTCCGCAAAAGTTCAGATTGCCAAGGATGTTTTCTCTCAGGGAACCGATCTGGGATTTTGATCTTTAGGAAATCCTGGATGCATTTCTCCAGCTCCTCCTCAATTGAGAGCTTTTCTTTAACAGCTTTTTTTTTGCTGCTCATGTTCGACTCCCTGGAGCCCGAAGTCAGAGTCCGGAGCAGGTCACTTTTCCGCCGCATCTCAGACTGTTGGATCAGCTGCACAGGGCCCTTCTTGATGGGACGGTCCAGAGTCTGGATGTTGGTCTGGCGTGTCACAGGCCCACAGATGACCGTCTCCTGGGGAGAGCTGGCCTCAGACTGGCTGTCACAGCTGGAGGTGGAGAGGTCATTGCAAGATGTGCCACTCTCCCCTTCCTTGTCCCCTGTGGCATTCTTGCAGCAGCAGTCGCAGTGGGAGGGTGACCACCTCGAAGGCTCACCTGCAAGCAAGCACAGCACCCGAGGGTTAATGACAGCTCAGCCTGGAGGAGTAGCACAGCACCTGAACACACATACACACACACGTTTCCACAACCATGTCTTACAAGAAGTGAGAGGCACACAGGATGGGCTGCATCATGAGTACCCGAAAGTCAAGTGCACTGAAGGGAGAAAGCTCAGGACAGTATGCTGTGCTTAAGGCCATGGGCACTGCAGTCAGCTACTCAGCTACACCATTTATTAACCCTGTCACCTTGGAAGTCTCCTTCCATTCTCCAAGTTTCCATTCCCTCCTCTTGGAGGTGAGGATAATCACTTGCCTACTCCTTAGAGTTGTAGGAAGGATTTGGATAAATCGAGTGAAATTCTTAATGCAGTACATAATGCACAGTCAACTCTCAATAAATGCTACTGATTTTACTGATGCTAAAGCCAGATCCAAAGCACCACATCACTGCAGTCCGGTACAACAATGGAAGTCTGTGAGAGTCTTACTTTGTGCCAGCCCCCATCTAAGCTCTGCACACCCATCAACTCATGGGAGACTCGTGACAACTCTGAGTAGCTCTACTGCTAGATTCCCTACAACGAAACTAAGACACTGAGAATTTAAGAAACTTGCCCTAATTTGCACATTTCATAAGTGGCAGAGTTGAGGTTCGAATGCAGATTTCCCAAATATGACAATCAAAGCAATTAACCATTTGTTTTTCTTCTATTTGCCTGACTGTAAAATTCCTGCTTTTCTTTAAAAACAATGTTCAGGGTTTAACTTCTCTCTGAAGTGTCTGTTTACCCCTCTTCAGAGATATTTATCATCCCCTCCACCTAAATTACGGTTTTATTTTGTAAGTGCCTCCATTATTGCACAAACCACATTTTGTTATAATTCTTTTTTACTTTATTCATCTCAGCTACTCACCATGAATTCCCGGAAGTGGGCACAGTGAAGTGCCCATTGTTGCAATTCTAGCAGTTAGCTCAGAGTATGGTACAGAAACTCAATAAGAGGGTGTATCCTAATAGTAACTTTTAAGTACCTGGATCCAGCCATACCTGAAGCTGATACTAACAGTGCACTATTAAGTTACATGATCCACTATATCATTTTAAAGCTAGTGTGAGTTCCTCTCTCCCTATTTCCCTCAGTCTTGATTCACAGCAGTGCATTCAGCTATTTGGAGACAGACTCATTTTTCAGATACACAGTTGATGGCTCCTTGAACTAGAAAATCCACAATTATGGCACAATGCAAATTCCTAAACATAAGTCACTTCTCCCAGCTTTCTATCCACTGAACATTCAGTCTTCTTAGAGTCATGAGCTTGATAGCATTTACTCATCAAAGGTTATATGCTAGGCATTTCATATAGTTCATTGCATGTAAGCCATAAGAAAATAAAGGAAATGAATCCCCTTTATGATGCTAATATTGAGGAAAAGGATAATGTAGTGTCGTTATATGTTTAAAAGGAGACCCAGTTTTGGTTTGTGCTATATCTTACTTTCATAAATGATGAATCACATTATAATAAGCTCCCACTTTATTGCCACCTCTAATATGGTCAAAGTACAGGAAATTTAGAATGGAAACTATTAGGAAAGCTATGCCTTGTCTTCTTGTAAAAGGCCTGTCATCTACATACCTAAATGATTTAAATATTTATAGAAACTTACACATTTTCCAGAGGGAGTAAAAAAAAGTCCCTGTATATCATAACTCCAAAATTATCTCTAAAGTATACCCACTCTTTCAAACCACTTTTTAAAATGTGACTGAGTAATCATTGTATTTATATACCCATTAAATGAAATGCAACAATCCAATTAGCCAAAAGGAATCACCACGGCAATAATGTCCTACTTATCCCAGGCTATTACCAATAAATATCTTCCATGCAGCAGGGAAACTGCTCAACATGTACCAGCTGGTGACTGAAAATATCAGCAAGAGGAGATGTTTTGTCTGCCAGCCCAGATTCTGAGGGTATCATTTTTCTCCTTCTGATGGCAGCATCTGCCTCTACCTCTCCAACCCAGCCATCCCTATGCTAATATGACTCAATGGAGAAATGGCTCTGATGCATTGGGTCAAAAACAAGGTAATCATATCAACCCAGATCTGATCTAGTTTGAGTCTTTATGAGAAACGTTCAGAAAATAACCTAAGCCTTAAAATTTTTTTTTAAAAAGGAGAGGAAAGGGGAGACAGAAAGGAGAAGAAGAAATACATGCTGAGATATGCCTGTCCATTATCTTAAAACAGATGACAAACTATTTTGGCCATAAATCCTGCTGAACCATTAGAAATGCAAGCCTGTGTTTTCCTCCCCAAGAGCTACCTTCCCCATGGTAAAGTCATTTCATTCAGTGAATTTGGAGGAAAACCTGAGGCTTTTCTAAAAGGTAATCTAACAACACAAACTCCATCATGGGAAGGAGCCCTATGTGTTTATGTGGAAAGCTGCACACAATCCTCCACTGCATGTCTAAGCCAAGAACCCAGAGCGGATGCAGCTATCTTCCCTGAACCGCTAGGATGATCATGGATTTAAATGTCAGCTGGGATCCTCCGGCTTCCAGGCAAATGGAAATATTACTTTCCACTTATTCTAGGCGCTATCACTATTAAAGGGAAATTGAACAGCTTCATTTTAGTGGAGCCTGTTATACTACCACATGTTTCAATATTTTATGAGAACATTTAAATGTTTTAACATTTTTGGCAAGACAATTCATAAGAAGGCTTCTGAAGTCTATATATTAGGTTGAAATCAAGGAAGAAGATGGTATGAATCCAGCTAGAGGTGCTGTGTGAAGTCATCATGAAATGTGAAAAACAGTCAATGTGGGAAGATAACCACTCTGTTTCTTTTTGGGAAACACTGTCTGTCTCATTACCCCCTTCCCAAGAACTTAACCAGAGCAGGGGTTTTAAACCACAACAGAGAAGTACTGTGTGTGGGGACTGAACCCGTTTGCCCTTGCAGCCCCACTGACGTGGGCTCCCCAGTCCCGGCAGATGTGGAAGGATCTGTGAAAGATCAATTCTGTAACTCAAGCTATTCTAGAATCCCCTCAATTATAGCAAATTATGATCTCATAAATACCTTGGTACTTCAAATTACAATATACTTTTGCTCCCAATTGGCTGAGGTTTCAATACAGGCTGGGATAATTCTCTCCATTTGAAGAGAAAATACATTACAGCTGATTAGCCAGATCCAGGAAGAAAACCATTTCATCTCAAGAAAAGTCTGATTTATTGATATTAAAAAAAAGCAAAAAAAATCTGTCTTTTGGGACGCCTGGGTGGCTCAGCAGTTAAGCATCTGCCTTTGGCTTGGGGCTGATCCTGGAGTCCTGGGATCAAGTCCCACGTCGGGTTCTTTGCATGGAGCCTGCTTCTCCCTCTGCCTGTCTCTGCCTCTCTCTGTGTGGCTCTCATGAATAAATAAATAAAATCTTTTAAAAAATCTGTCTTTTGAGGGGTTTATTAATGTTGCTAAAAGTCAAAGAGTACAATAGTTCTACTTTACTTTTAAATAAATCATTGCAGGCAGCCCCGGCGGCTCAGCAGTTTAGCGCCGCATTTGGCCGGGGCGAGATCCTGGAGACCCGGGATTGAGTCCCATGTGGGGCTCCCTGCATGGAGCCTGCTTATCCCTCTGCCTCTCTCTCTCTCTCTCTCTCTCTCTCTCTCTCTCTGTCTCATGAATAAATAAATAAAATTTAAAATAAAAAAAATCATTGCTTAATTTGTCAGATATTATATCATTCTTGGTGCCTGGCATATAATAAGGGTTTGATAACTGATGAATGAATGAATGAATGAATGAATGAATGAATGAATGGGTCAGACACATATGTTGAATTGTATCAAGGTCATAACATAGAAGCACAGATTGTAGGCTTCAGAATCAGGTCCCACAATTTGTCAGTTTGGATAAATTTGGTCAGTTACTTCATCTGAGCCTTAATTTCCTCATCTAAAAAATAAAGCTAATAATAGTATTTCCCTCATAGATGTTTTTAAAAAATGAAATGAGACAATTAATGTAAAGGTGCTTCATGGTCTGAAGCACCTAATAAGTGTTCCATTCATTTATACCTCTTTGCTTTATTGAAAGCCAGGCACTAACTTACATAAACAATACAAACGAGAAGCATGTTAGATAGGACAAGTATGTTTCTCCCAATTGCTCTACAACCAACTCTTAGGTCTGGCTGGAACATCATGTGAGGAAGGACACTGATGCTGAAACTGGACTCATCATGACATTTAGTAATATCTGGATTTGGTGTGGGAGTGGAGAGGAACCACAAGCACCGGGCAGTGTCTGGCACATGGCATGTGATCAGGGGACAGTTTTAGAAAGAAGTTTCCTTCACCGTGCCGAGCTTAGAATTTTATAAATGGATGAGTCCACTGAAATAAGATTTTACTTGAAGACACATAAAATAAATTTAAACCCAGAGCTGGGAGTATTCTGTATTTTGGATTAAATAGGGAGGAGCAGGGCCCTCCATCACCTTAAATCCTTAAAGCTCAAATCTTCCAACATTTTACAAGTTGGAAAAATTGAGGACCAATCAGGCAAATTGCGTGATTGTACGTGGCCCCTTTTGACTATAGCCCTAACTGCACAAATCCTTACTGATAAAGAAGGAATAAAAGAGGAAAGACTACAGAATACTTCTCCTCTATGAAAAATTCAAACCGAGCTGAGTGAAACATGACTTAGCAAACTCACAAAGTGCTTATGCATTTTTAAAAGAGGCAGCTCTGCAATCTACCCACACTTCAAATTCTCCACCTGCTAATGGTTGTGAACACAATGCACATCATTTACAGCAACAGCTGGGAAAACTGCTTTCCCCTGTCTTCTCTGTCAATGATGTAGGAGCCTGCCAGTCTGGGAGCTAGGTGGCCAGATCTAATTTATTGAGCCTGCTGAAAGACTTTCTTGGTATCCCAGTTGAAAAGTCAATAATGGC